CAGAAACATTATTATTGTAATATCTGCCAACGTACTTGTTTAATAATAGTAAACAATAATACTACAATAATGCTATCTAAGCGCTGTAATAATATTAATATCTACAGACTTCATAGCAGTAACTGCACGCATCGTGTTGGGGGGGGGGGCGAAGCGGACATCACACTGTGAAGAAATAGCCGCAGCATTGTGTATATTTATTGCATGTAAAACGCGTAAAAAAATGTCCCCCGTGAGCTCGCCCGAACGCGCATCACTTGGCAGGGTCCGTCCCCCCCCCCACGCAATTGGCGTGAGTTGGTACGGCGGATGTCGTGCAATAAAGAAATAAATATAGCAAAATCCCACTAAATCGCAAATTTAACTAATTTAAAGGTGACAGACGTGAAAAAGGCATAGCCTATTCCCACCGCGGGGCTTAGGGCGTGCCGGCTGGCAAAAAAAATTTCTACGTAAAGCCCACCGTTCAAGAGCTCGCGAGCGCGCGCGGAGACTTTTATATATAAGAAAAAAATAGGCCTTAATTAAATCAAGAATGCAGAGATCTAGTTTCTACTGAAAATCCAGTACTCCTCTGCTGTAGTCGATGGACAGAAAATACAGCAGCCCCTTGCATATCGCGGAGGTTACGTTCTTCAAAAGTGCCGCGCGAAAGCTAAAAGCGCGATATTCAAAAGTGCGATATTCAATACTTAAGCCTTACCTAATTAATGGCGTTAGGTAAACGTCAACTAAAATTTACAACATCACAATTGAAATAAGTCCTGTACTATATTGCAAATAAACTAAACAATTGAAATAAACACGGAGAAACCATATACAAAAAAAATGTCCCGAGACGAAAAATAGTATAAATCTATATAAAGCAGACACATTTTGATTTAAAGCTATCGTGACTGCAGTAATTCATATTCTTAGTTCTTTCGGTAAAGTCACGTTGAAGGGAAAACAATAAAATATATATAAAACAATAAAAATTCTCACGACGTTTCGACCATAACAAAAACGGTCGTCATCAGGTGTGTCGTGACTTTACCGAAAGAACTAAGTATATATAAAGCAGACTTTGCATTTGTGTAGATGTTTTTGTTAACAAAATTGCACCAACCCACCCCAATCTTTCCATGCATACTCACTGGTGAGTCAGTGTATTTTTCGCACTATTTTACATGCTTTTATTTACTAACTCTGTCTGTTGTATCCTCAAATCTTCTAACTCAATTTTTACCCACTTCCCAATGTGGTATCGACTGCAAACTTGGTATGCTTATGTCATACTGATGACAATACTATATTCTATCATAAAAAAATATTTTAAAACACTATTTTTTAAATGTTATGTTTCGGCTTGGGTCTAATTGTCCACGCTCAACTGACGTTCGCTGCAAATCACCACGGTCCCTTACGTTATGGCAAGCTTCGGAGCCACTTCCTGGAGTCGTGGAGTTCTTCCATTGCTAGGACAGTACATTCAATTAAAGTGTGATTTTTTTAAATATTACTTATTTAGATTACCTGCTCAACTTCAACACCTGTAACACCTGCACACTCCAACTCCCCCCGCACTCCTCACCCTCCCCCCTTTCTTTCTATTCACATGGTATAAAGCTCAGGGCATTCTCACTACTTCCGGTTTGCCACACATGGCTCACCTAACACACTGCAATATTTAATGAAACATTTACTATTCTAAAATATCTACATCTACGTGTCAGTACTACCGACCTCCTTCTACACAACATAGATGCTATACAACAGCTATGACTAAATGCATCAAATCTACATTGCCTGCTAAGGAATAACAAGTATGCCAAAACACACATACTAATTTAAACAAATTATGTGGGCACACACCACCACACACATGCTATTCATACCCACTTCAAGCACTACAAACAATTACTTCTTCCAACAACTTATAGGCTTATACCTCAATCCTTTGTGGCTATGTCTTCACATTCATACAACGATTACAAATTCGAATATCATTTAATTAACTATCTCGATATAGTATTCAGTCACACACTCACTATTTACTATTTTTTTGCTTATTAACTTTTACCTCCACGTATAATTTTCCTTGCGGAAAACGTGCGCTTCTCTTCACCAAAAGCGATTACAATAATTTACGTGATTCGTACAAGTGCTGCAATGGCTGCACCTAGAGCTAATGCTACTCTTGAACAACAAGGAGTAAGACGGCATTCTGCCAGTGCTGCGATGGCTGCACCTACAGCTTATGAAACTCCAGTACAGCAAGAAGCAAGACAGTATGCGACCAGTGCTGCTATGCCTGCACCTACATCGAATGCAACTCATCAACAGCAATGAGCTACACAGAAAACTAACACAGCATAAATGGGTGCTGCCGCAGCTAATCAAACTCCAGTCCACAAGCAAGGCAACCTGAAAACACCACTAAAATGGCTACAACCAGGTGTCTACCCTGCATCAAAAAGGAAAAGTCTTCTTTTCCATACATTTCACACATCATTTACACTTCTGATCCATGAGTTGCCATTGGTTCCATGTCAACTTCTTGCAGTTACTGCCATGCAATGACATGAAAAGGAAACCCTCCAGGGCTATGCTGCAACAGTTCCCTACAATTAATGACCATCATGAGCCTATTCATGTATTGATACCTGCCAAAACTGCCTGTGCAAGCCATTTCCGAACCAACAATAGTATAAATCATGCTTCGAAATTACATGCTTTGGCACCAACCAACTCATTCCAACATCTGGATACATGCCTACATTTAATGTGCAGGGCCAGGTACATAATCGCATTGGCAGTCTGCTGCCACAACCTAATGCCCTACCTACATTACCACAGATCTACTTGCATGTTTGACAATACTAGACAGGCTCACCAGCATTGCAAAAATGTCATCAAAACCAAGATGCAAGTCCTATTGCTGTTGTAAGACACGCTCAAAAAGCAAAACTCTCATGTTCACAGTTTCAAGCATGCATAAGAGAAGAGTGCTTCATAGTACAATGTTGTCATTAATGCAGACTAAACTCCATCATGGTCAACATGCGTGCCGCTTAAATGCATTCACAACATCTGAAGTCGCTGTCATTCTGACTGCTGAGTAACATGGCACTCGAGGCATCGTCTTGGAACTGAGAAACAATACCCTACACAGAATTGAAACACACCGACCCTATGATGCTCTTCAATGTCCACGGATTTTCTAGCAAGGTGATGATGGCTACAATTTCGCACTTTGCCAAACTGACCCAGCAACAGGCTTGTCGGCACAAAATAAGATTTCCGCCATGGACTTCTTTGCTTTCCAGATCATGGTGCGAAACAGCAGCTTCAATCTCTTCTTGAGATGCAAAGAGCTCTTCCACCAATTTGCTGTCGACATGTATGCCAAATTCTAGATTTAAAGCTTTCGTGACTGCTAGGATCCATACTCTTTGGTTCTATTGGGTAAAGTCACGTAGGTGAAAATAAAATAACAAAAAATCACGACGTTTCGGCCACAACACAAGCGGCCTTCATCACAACACAAGGCCGCTTGTGTTGTGGCCGAAACGTCGTGATTTTTTGTTATTTTATTTTCACCTACGTGACTTTACCCAATAGAACCAAAGAGTATGTATGCCAAAATTGAGGCTTCATTATTAAACCCACGAGATGGCAAAACGTCCAAAATTGTTTATCCTGAAGCTCTCCGAGGGTAACGAATTTTAAAGCTGTCATTATGAAACAAACAAGCCGTGCGATTGTATAACACAACCAAAAAACCGTGACAATTACACACATTTACAGACTTCATTGGCAGAATTAAATGTTCTAATAAAGCCAACATTGCAAGACATTACTCTTAATGTTTGATTACTGAGACCTGTGCGAAGCCAGGTAACTCAGCTAGTACTGAATAAATACTATACTTTCAATGATGTTTGTGCGTGAGTGGGGAGCGGTAGTGCAACGGTTATCATGGTGAGCTATAATCCCAGCGAGCCGATTTATATTCCCACAGAACCAAGCCACAACATTTGGCTGTCGCCTGAAGCTGGTTGTAATTACTGGCTTAACGTCGTACTCAGATTGTAAATGTTGTGGCTTGGTTTTCCAACGCACAACCGGTGTGCTGTACTAGTGACGAATTGGCTACGTTCTTCTTTGGTTCTTTCGGTAAAGTCACGTAGAATGAGAATAAAATAATAAATTGATAAAATAAAATAACACAATAATAGTCTCGTCCCTTGACCTGATGAAGGCCGCTTGTGTTGTGGCCGAAACGTCGTGAGAATATTGTGTTATTTTATTTTATCAATGTATTATTTTATTCTCATTCTACGTGACTTTACCGAAAGAACCAATGAAGATGAATCCTTGCAGTCAGGAAAGCTTTAAATCGAAATTTGGCTACGTTCTGTTTACATGACAAACCCTTCCTAATTGACAGTGTGGGGTGGTGGCGGGTTTAATGATACATTTATATATTTACGCGATCTAACACAAACCTGTATTACTGCTGTATATTTAGAGTTTGCGTGTCTCTCTCCCCGTGGTCGCGTGTATTTTCCTCCGGATCCTCCGGTTTTCCCCTCCACATTTAGAGTCAACATCACCACGCGTTTAGAGTATTTGACCGACAGACATTTCCACACGTTGATAAGCCACTTTGTTGTGGGCAGGTCGCTTCTGAAAAAGAGCGGTATAGCAGCTGAAGTGGGCTTGGCCTGGTGAGATAAAAAAAAATGTATAAATATTTTAAAGAAAACAAAGTTTCAAAGTAGTGAGCCAGGTGAAGACAAATTAAACTTTAGCAGAGAATTAAAGCAAACGCGATCAGGCGAGGGCAGGAGGCAAGGCCCCGCAAGGCAAGGCCCCGCGTTGTAATGTTCCAACCTGGACATCGATTCCATACTCGCTGCTACTCAATTGAGAGAGAGAGGAGCGAGGCTCTACCTGGGTAAACAACAACAACAACAACCACCACAACAACAACAACCACGATGTGAACTTCTCACCTCGTATCCCAGTGAGCGCGCGCGTAGATCGGCAGCTTCCTGGTGTCTCGTGACGTCACGCGGCAGCAGGTGACATGACGTCACTTGGAAGGTTCAACACCAAATCCCCCTCAAACTTGCGGAGGTGTCACTGAATCAATTATGTTAATGAGCCAGGTCCATGTCGGATGATTGGGCTTGGCTGCTGTGAACCCGTCGCAATTATTTTACGAATATTTTATGTTAATGAACCGCCAGTGACTGGGCGTAGCTTTGCCCAAATAAAGATTCTACTGGAATGAAAATTGGCTTTGACCAACCTGACGTGACGTCACGCTCAAAAGAGCGGAAGAGGGGGGGGGTTGGGGGTTGAGGGAAGTCAATACCTTGGTGACATGACGTCACTAGCGGGGTACACCTCCCGCTCGCGTCTCACGCCGACGAGTTAATGAGTGGTGACGTCAGAGAGCGAGAGAGAGGTCAGGGTTAGAGTTGAAGTCTACTTAGATTCCATTTCTTTTGCTCCCTCTCTTGAACAGAGGACCTCTTGGCTGCGTGAGATCAACAACAACAACGTGTAGATCATTGTGTGTGTGTACACACTGTTTGTTGCCACAGTAGGGGGCATAGGTGGTTCATCGGCCAGTCATTTCTTGTCAGTCTACCCATGGCACCTGCTGGGTCTGCCACGTGAACTCCTGCCGGCGAGCGTTCGACACTTCACGTGGCCTTAACGTGCACATAGCCTTGCACTTGGGGGTGCTCTTCGAGTGTTTGTGATGACATATGATACAAAACTCCGAGTTGTTGCGGCGATTAAGCAAGCGCTATATAAATGCAATTATTATAACAGAGTGATTGATTGGAATCCTAATGGCTCTTGCTCCTGGTTAGAGATCTACCAAACCCACAGGTCCACAAATACTGACCACTCTTACTCTGCAGGTTGAACCTAAGAATTTAGTGTTCAACTTCACATTCTTTCACTAAAGGCATTTGACAAAGGTGAATATTTTGGAGCTGAATTGTCTCAAGCTTACACATCTACCGGGTCTCCATTTAACTTTCAATCATCTCCACTTGTACAAACTGCTGGGGGTTGCCTCACAGTCAGAATTCGCCTCCTGCTTCACGTTGCCTCCATCGATGTTAAGGTCTGATTTTGGAGTTGAATCTTCATCTTCACATTTTAACTTCACTTTTTCGATCTTCACTGTTACTCCTTTACATTTCACCTTCGCCTCTTCATATTTCAACTAGATACCTTTTAAAGTGTCCAAGCTGGAATTTACTTCTGAATCTTGTTTCATGAGGGATGGGCTCATTGCAGCACTTTGACTTTCTCAAGTCGATGTCAGACTACACTCCTTGGGGATCTTCTGATGACTGTGTGTTCTCTGGTATCTTTGAAGATTTGATGACCGTACAAATGCATTCCCACACAGAGGGCACCTGAAGGGTTTCTCTCCCGTGTGTGTTCTCTGGCTTTTCTTAAGACCTGATGACTGTGCAAACGCCTTATCACACAGTGCACCTGAGGGGTTTATCTCCTGTGTGTGTTCTCTGGTGGATCTGGAGATGTGACGACTATGTAAACGCCTTCCAACACACAGTGCACTTGAAGGGCTTTTCACCAGTGTGTGTTCTCCGGTGCTGTGTCAAGTTTCCAGTACGATCCGTGCTGTTTGCATCATGGTCACATTGTTTACTTTTTGTACAGAGCTGCGCTGAAACAAACAAGTTGAAGGTACCCCAATGTGTTCTCCCTTATCTCCAGTTGTAGCCAATGTTTTCATGGAAAATTTTGAGACAGATGCCATCCAGGAATCCATTCTATGTCCGTCCTTGTGGAAGAGGTACGTAGATGACACATTCGTCATCTGGCCCCATGGCCAACCAGCTCTGAACCAATTCCTCAACCACATCAATTCCATACACCCAGCGATCAAATTCACCATGGAGGTGGAAAAGGATGGCAAGTTACCATTCTTGGATCTTTTAATTGAAAAGAGACCAGATGGCTCAATGGGACACTGTCGACAGGAAAGTCACCCATACGTATGCCTACCTAAAACCTGGCTCTCACCACCATCCATCCCAGAAGAATTCCACATCAAAACTCTACACCATAAAGCTCGATGTATTTCCGACCGTCAATACCTCGCCAGTGAACTGGAACACGTACACCAAGCTCTCAAGAGGAATGAATATTCAGACTACACAATCCGTAAGGCTATGCCCCCAACTGTTAGGAAGAACCATCAGAGAAAAACCATCACCTTGCCATACATAGCAGGGGTCACTAAAAATATTTCCAAAATCATGAGCAAACACAAGATCCAGGTTCGATTTAACACAGTACATAAAATTCGTGATCTGATCCCATCTGTGAAGGATGTGATCCCTGACATGCAATACCCCAGCCTCTACAAACTAAGCTGTGCCTGCGGCTGTAGTTACATTCGGGAAACTAAGCGACATGTCCCAGACCATGTTCGTGAATATAAAGCGGTTCTGAAACACTGCAGGACCAATACCTCGGCCGTGGCTGATCATTGCTTTAATGCGGTGGGCTCACACGAAATTGATTTCTCTAAGGCGAAGGTACTTTGCAAGCCCACTGGCTATCAACAACGATTCGTTCATGAAGCCATCCATATATATAGACACAGATGCAATTTCAACCGAGAAAATGGGTACAAACTGAGAAATAATTGGAAAGACGTTATTAGCCAGTTTAAGTCATAACTGGCTGTGTTGTTTCCATCCTATCTTCCAATGTTAGTAGTGATTTTCGACTCTCTGGTTTTACATTAACAGGTTAAATGTCTCACACTAACACAGCCACCTTCGCTCGTGTGCTCGCTGTGGCAGTGGCTCTGCGATCTTACATTGACATGCTAATCTTTCACAATACAATGGCCACCTCCGAGCCGTCGTCGTGGAGGCAGCTCTCCGACCTTACATTTATATGAAAATTTCTCACTTTAACATCACTAGCCCCGCCCACTTCGTTTATGACCCTTGGGCTACACCCATTTCAAACCTTTATAAACAGCCTGCCTCAGCAGCTTTCCCACTATTTTTTCTCCTGATGACGATTGCTTGTGTTGCGATCAAAACGTCGTGATTTTTTGTTATTTTCTTTGAACCTATCTACGTGACTCTACCGAAAGACCTAAGCATATACTGTCACACACTGGCATGGTAAAAAGGTGGTGGTGTATCCAGAAACATACCTGGCCACCTTCATCTGCTCAATATTAATGTTTCCTCACTTCACCAAGTAATTAATTGAGGATCAATCAACATAGCGGAGGGCCACAATAAGTTCAGTTCACTTATCAATCATGTTTGCTGTCAGCAATAATTAAAATGTAATTGTTGACTTCATAATGCAGTGAAATAACTGCACCACCGCTCCCCACATAGATAAACTCTTACATGCACATACATTTCACATGGGTCATTAACAGATTACATTTTAAACAACAGCCACGAATCATCACGAATTGAAGTAACCTTGTCATGGTGCTCATACCATGATAGGTGTAATTTAATGCCATGTGAGTGTGGATCACTTGTCAGCAGGTCATGGGAATTATCCAGGTGTTAAGGGATGACAGATGACTGGCAGGTGCACCAGCTGTGCCCCCCCATTGTGCCAACTTTCTGCGTTTTAGCCATCCAGCGCTCCACTCATTGATGTGAACGTCGCTCCTCCGACCTCATTGTTGTTGCAGAGCAAATGCCTCCAACTGTCCTGCAGCATCCGTCATGGGCCTCCTCCACAGAGGCCAATTTTGTATACTCCTGGTACCAGTCATTGGCAGGTTCGATCGCCTCTACATCCTGCAATCTCTTCTCTAGCCCATGCCATGCCCATTTAGCCCCTATTATCGGGACTAACTAAAGCTGCTTGAGCATGCAGTGCCTGGGTATGCGAAATTCATGACCCATCCAATGCAGCCTCATCTGCCAAAGAGAATTACTGATTGTTGTGTAGATCAGGGCTGTTTGGAATTGCCGTCAGGACGGCGTATGCATTTCTCCTGTCTCCGACCTACATGTGTTCTGCTAATGCTATGGTGCAAGCACTTGCGTGCTGAACAGTGCGGATTCCGCCCGGCACGCAAATGTTGGTACCTCTCCGATTGTGAAAACCGCTCGATGTGTGCGCTGCGGGAGACGGTATCACGTTGGGGCCCTCCAATAAGCTTTATCGAGGGATGTCGCTCCTTCCGGCTCAGACATGGGTGTCCCAGGACACAATGGTCATTCAGGAGCGTACCGTGCTTGCGCATGCATCACCAGCGTATCCGGGGAAGGACGTCGTGGGGAGTATAGGGGTCGGCGTTTGTACTCATGGACCCCGGGATGTGGATGAAGGCTGGATTGACAAGCTTTGCTCTGAGTGCGGCGAGAGCACTCGTGCGAATTCTCCGACATTGGCCGCACGTCCCGTATGAGCCACCACATTGATACGGGCGATGCCGCCCCAATTTGGCAGAATCCCTGCCGCCTGAGTCCGGCCGAAAAGGAACATGTTCGTGTGGTGGTTGATGAGATGATGGCCGCAGACATCATCTCACCATCCACTAGTCCATGGGGTGCTTCGATCGTGCTTGTCAAGAAGCACGATGGCAGCTTGCTGTTTTTTGTTGATTTCCGCAAGCTTACTAAGGTTTCCATTGCAGATGCATACCCCTTGCCTCGTATGGACGATTCACTGGACGCCTGGGCGGGAGCGCGGTTCTTTTCCACCCTTGACGAGGTTTCAAAACCCAAGACGGCCTTTCGTATGCCGCAAGGGTTGTTTGAGTTTACCTGGCTCCCGATGGGGCTCCACTCCACGCCAGCCACATTTCAGCGACTGATGGAGCTGATTTTAGAGGGCCTCCATTGGGATTCGTGCCTTGTTAATTTCGGTCGTACGTTTTACGAAAATTTGGATCGCCTGTGGGCTGTTTTTTTTAAGGTGTGTTCGGCTGACCTTAAATTTAAACCACAGAAATGCCACCTACTCCTAACATCGGATTGATACTTGGGCCATATAGTTAGCGAATCGGGTATTGCGACGGACCCGGAGAAAACTGCTTGCATGCGGACGTGGCCGACCCCCACCTCGGCAAGCGAGGTGCACAGTTTTATTGGCTTTGCTT